GCGGGCTCCCAGAGGGCGCTCCCTCGGGGTCTTGGGAAAGCAGGGATCGCAGCCTTATCTCAGCGCCCTCTGACCCCCATCACAGACCCTGAGACGCCGCCACCGGCTGGGAGCCAGGAGCCCAGACACTCAGCTGTGAGGGGACCCTGGCTGTGGGGTCCTGCCCCGCCCCCTTTCCCCTCCCCCTCCCCAGGGGCGCTGGGACTCTGAGGGGCTCCCTGTTGAAGCAGAGGAAGGTGCGGGGTGAACACCCAGGAAATAAAGCTGCTCGTCCAAGGCTCAGGCAGCGGCACCTTCTCCGCCGGCACCTTGACCCTCCCGGGCCCCAGAGGCTGCCACCGTGTCCATCTGATCACACGGAGCTGGAACGGGGCCTCTGGGCCCAGAGCTCACATTCCCCACGGGAGGGAGGCTCCCTCCCTCGAGTAGATAAATTATGCTAAGAATTAAGTATAATCTCCCTAGACTCACTATGAACTGGACTTGCTTATTGATTAAGGCTCAAATCCTATAATTATGCCTCCAACAGCAGCAGCGGCCGGGGTGGCACTGGCCTCGCTTACCCGCCCTGACATCCCCGGGGGCCACGGGGACGCCCTGCTCATCGCCGGCAGCCTTCTCGGGGCTCTTGGTTCTCACGCCTCTTCTGTTGCCATTTTTACCTAAAAAGAAAGAGAAATGTCTGCTTCCACCTGTGGGAGGGTCTCCGGGGGGTGGGGTCTCCTCTTTTCAGAGCAGCTGTCCAGAGCTCAGTCCCTGCCACAGCCTCAGCCTCGCCTCCCGCACGCCGGGTCCCCACCCCGGACCGAACGTGCTGCTTGGCTCCGGGGATCGGAGGAAGGTCCCGATGTGGGCATGTGTGCTACCGCCCTGAGCGCCTGAGCCCGGGACCCACCTGTGGGGCAACAGGCAGGGCCCAGCCACCCTCCCGAAGCCTCCCTCTGATCACTGGCTCTGACCCCTGCCCAGGCCTGAGGCCTCTGGCCCAGGAATCATGCCTGGGCAGGGGACCCCCATCTCCCTCTGATCACTTGCTCCACCCCCCGCCCCCCCCCCCCCCCCCCCCCCCCCGCCTCCGTCACTGGATGGCAATTACAGGGAGGAAACAGCAACGCGGAACCCACACCCAGGGCTCCGGGCAGAGCCTGCCTCGGTCACCCCTGAGCAAGGCACCTTCTGGGGGCTCAGGGGTGGAGCGTCGACCTATGAACCAGGAGGTCACGGTTGGATTCCCGGTCAGGACACATGCCTGGGTTGTGGGCTCGATCCCCAATGTGGGGCAGGAGGCAGCCGATCCATGATCCTCTCTCTCTCTCCCCCCCTCCCTTCCTCTCTGGCATCAATAAAAATATATTTTAAAATATACGGCTTCCGGCCGTAACCAGTTTGGCTCAGTAGATAGAGCGTTGGACTGCGGACTGAAGGGGCCCAGGTTCGACTCCGGTCAGGGGCATGTACCTGGGTTGCGGGCACATCCCCAGTGGGGAGTGTGCAGGAGGCAGCTGATCGATGTTTCTTACTCTCTATCCCTCTCCTTCCTCTCTATAAAAAAATCAATAAAATATATTTATTTTTTAAAAAAAGACAGCTTCCGTCTGCTCATCATTAATATGCGGATGGAGCCCCTCCCATCACAGAGCACCATTCCGTTGCTGAAAGACCAACAGCCCGGCCTGTGGAGTGTGACTCACAATCATGAGGCATTTTCGCACGGATGACAGCATCCCTTCTTGGCAGGTGCCCCTGAGGGCGGGGGCTGACCATGAACGGAATGTCACAGGTGGGGACACTGAGGCTCAGAGGGGAGACCCCCGGGCACCCCCAGAGCCGGGCAGAGCTGGGGTCTGACTCCACTCCAGGTCCTTCCCAGCAAGAAAGGCAACACATGGCCCGTCCAGATGAAAGAGGAGAGCGAAGTGGAAAGAGAAGGAGCCAGATTAGATCAACATCCCCATCTGGGCTGCGTGACAAAGCTGAATTCCTTAAAAGTAGCAAATGGAGCTGCCAGCCCGGCCGCGTCTATTCTGGTCCGTGGTGATGAATAGAACGCTCTGGGCTCATAAGAAAGGCTGTTTCCCTCGCTCTTCAAGGAGCTACAGTAGCAAACCCAGGAACTGAAAAATCCTTCGCTGCATTTTTGCATTTCCCCAGGAAATTCCAGCCCAGCAGGGTCCACACTGCCTCTGGCGCAGGGCTCAGCCCAGGCCCTCGGCCCTGGAACCCACACAGGAGGGAGGCCTTCCCCAGGCAGAGGGTTCTCCGGAGCTCCCAGAGATGCCGCCTCGGGCATCAGACAGACAATGATGACAGCTTCCTAGAGCCCTGCCCCCCATGCACATCTGCAGAGAACCTCACGCGTGAGAGCCGGGAGGGTGACCGTGAAAATCCTAAACGATGGGGCTGCAAACTCGAGCTCCAGGGGGTGTGAGCAAAAGGGCCAGGACGGGGAGGGAACAGCCTGTGTCCTCACCCAGCTCTGAGGCTAAACTCCCTGGGAAGCAGGTCTCCCTGGGGATCAGATGAATCCTGAAGGAAGGCTGAGTTGTTGAAGGAGGGACTTGTTTCTGTTACTCAGTTACCTGGATGGTCTGGGGTGGAGATGGAGATACCACTGCAATTTTCTAAGCCTTTCACGAGGGCTACAACAAAATCAACCAACCAGCCAATCACCCAACTAATCAACCAATCAACCAGCTAATCAACCAACCAGCCAATCACCCAACTAATCAACCAATCAACCAGCTAATCAACCAACCAACCAACCAGTTAACCAATCAGCCAACCAACCAACCAACCAACCAATCAACCAGTCAACCAGCTAATCAACCAACCAACCAACCAACCAACCAACCAACCAACCAATCAACCAAACAAACAACCAATTAATCAACCAAAAGCCCTCCCGACCCTCCTCCCCTGTGTCTTCCCCACCAGCCTCTGCCCTCCTCCGGGCGAGCTTTTGTGAAGAAGGCGTGGTCTCCATCAGGGACCCAGGGCACCCTGGCCTCTCTGCAGCCGTCGCCACCTTTCTAACTGGCCACCAAGTAAGGAGCTCTTGAAGGAAAGAACCGCCACCCAACAGCAGCGGGTGGGGATGTGCCCAGCACTGTGCGGGCGCCGTTGGCACTTGCCTGTCTCAGTTTGGGTTCGGCCTGGAAACAGCCTGAGACAATGCCTTGGAGCTGGCGTGTCTCTGGGAGGTGATTTCATGAAGTGCAGGAACAGAGATGTGGAGGAGGAAACGCCAATAGCCCGGGCTGTGTGCTGAGCACGGCCTCTGGGACGCCGCCCGGCCGGGGACTCTGGGGAACTGAAGGGAAAGTGCCTCTGAACGGCCCCTCCGAAGACGGGGAGGCTGCTGGGGACCGCCTGACCACCCCCCCACCACCACCTCGGCAAGCGTGCTCACCGCCATTCCCGTGCCACCGGGAGCAGCCGAGGCTTGGAGGAGCCACGCGTGCCCGAGGTGGTGGAGCAAAATTTTGATGCCAGCTCTCTCTGGATCCTACACAAAATCTGCCCAATGCCTGCACATGCCCCGCAAGGACTCACTGTTCCCTAAAGATCTGTGACATGAGCGTCTGAAGTTAACACGGAAGGTAGCGGAGCTCTCCCACCAGCCCCCGTGCCCACGAGTAGTGGGCTGGATGCCAGCCAGGGGGGCCGTCAGCCCTTGGGGTGGCCATCCACGGACCCCAGAGGGTCTGAGAAGGTCTCAAAGGGCAGAGCCATGGCTGGAAACTGCAAGCCTGCGGGCGAGGCTCCGCCGCCCCTGGGAACACCCGGCGGAGACCTCGCCTCAAAAGTGCAGGCTCCCAGCCCAGGCTGCCAGCACGCGGGCACCGGAGGCAGCGCCCACCGTGAGTCCTGGCTGTGTGCATGCGCCAGGCGCATGGGGAGCACAGTGACTGTTTCTCAGAACCACAGCCTCCATCCAGCTCCCCAAACGGAGGGCCCCCCTTCGTTCCCCGGCACCAGCCCTGGTCTCCGAGCCACGGCCAGGCAGGGGGCTGCCAGCAGGCATCGTTGACTTTGGAGAACATTCTGGAAAGAGAGGTGCTGTCTTGAAAGCTATTTGCTGATGTGTATGAAATAACTTTTTTTTTTTTAAATAAAATATCCCTTCCCTTGGAATTTTGTAGGGAGTTTATCAGGTCAAACCACTTTGGTTTAACTCTTCAAGCGAACACATAATGCCATGATATCAGATCTCTTGCCCTGGCTGGTGTGGCTCAGTGTATAGAGTGTCAGCCTGCGGACTGAAGGGTCCCGGGTTCAATCCTGGTCAAGGGCTCGTACCTTGGTCGCAGGTTCCCCGGCCCTGGTCGTGCAGGAGGCAACCAATCGATGTGTCTCTCTCACATCGCTGCTTCTCTCTGTCTCTCCCTCTCCCTCCCACTCTCCCTAAAATCAATGGAAAAATACCTTCGGGTGAGGATTCACAAAAAATAATAAATAAGTAAATAAATAGTCGGGCCGCACACCAAGGTCACCAACATTGACGTGACATGCAAAGTATGCGCTCCCCCTCGCTGGGGGCCCCCACGTGGCCCTGACCTGCCCTGCGCCTGGGCTAATGGGGAACCTGGACCCCCCCAAGCCGCAGGCACCTGGAGCTGCTGGGTTCTGCTCGAGGCAGCTGCTGCATGGACTGGAGGGGGGCGAGGAGGCGGGTCCTGATGAGGACCAGGTCCTGGCAGTCAGGGCAGCGCCCGGAAGAGAGGCTGTGAGCAGAACGCAGGTCAACCACAGAACCAGACTCGCCGCACACACCACCACCCCTGGGTCTCCTACAAGCCCTGCAGGTCCGGGCTGCACCGACGTTCGCCAGGAGGACTCAGGAACTCCATGACACTGAGTTCCTGCACCTCAGAAAAGGGCCCACAGGCCTGGGTCCTGACGGTGGTGGTTCCACACACCTGCATGCCCAGAACAATTGCAGAGAACTACACTCACTCACACATGCATGTGTGTGCATGCACGCACATGCACATGCACACACACACACACACACGAGCATACCTACAAACTGGTAAAATACGAGGTGTGTAATCCAGTCAATAGCACTGAACCCATGTCAATTCCCTGGCTGCGATGGTGCACATAGCAGTGACTCTCAGCCCAGGGGACATTTGTCGATGTCTGGAGACACTGTTAGGACGCGGGGAGGAAAGTGCCACTGGCATCTGGCAGGTCAAGGACAGGCATGCTGCTCAACATCCTACATGCACAGGACAGCCCCCCAAACACACCACACACACACACACACACACACACACACATGCTCACACACACACACACACACACACACACAATTCACACACACACATGCTCACACATACACACACACCACACAATCACACACTCGCACACATGCACACACATTCACTCACAAACACACACTCATACACACACACTCACACATACACACCCACACACACTCACAGAACACACACACATGCTCACACACGCTCACACACATTCACACACACCACACACACTCTTGCACACATGCACACACATTCACACACACGCATGCACACATACACTCACTCACACACGCATGCACACACACACATACACACAGTCACACACTCACACAACACACACAGTCACACACACACTCACACAACACACACACATACACACACACACTCACATACACACACACAACACACACACATACACACACACTCACACACACACACTCACATGCACACATTCACACACACACATGCTCACACATACACACACCACACAATCACTCGCACACATGCACACACATTCACTCACACACGCATGCACACACACACCACACACACTCGCACACACATGCACACACACTCATACACTCACACACATACACACACCACACACACACACACACACACACACTCACACACACACACTCCCACACTCACACATACACACTCACACTCACACACACACACACACACACTCACACACACACACTCCCACACTCACACATACACACTCACACTCACACACACACACACACACACTCACACACACACACTCACACACTCACACACACACTCTCACACACTCACACACACACACACTCTCACACATGGCCCGAAATGGCGAGCCTGCCAAGGTGAGGATTCCCACACTGTAGTCCTCAAAGGCATTGTCAGTGGGGGAGGCTGCGCGACGGGGACACAGGACCTCACTGTACTGGTTTTTGCAATTTCCAGTGAGTCTGTAATTATTTCAAAATTGGAGGCCCGGTGCACAAAATTCATGCAAGAGTAGGTCTTCCTTCCCCCAGCTGCCGGCACTGGCTTCCCTCTGGCACCTGGGACCCAGGCTTCCCTCGCAGCCCCAGCCGTATCTGGAAGGTCATCCAGAAGGATGTCTGGAAGGACACCCAGTCTAATTAGCATATTACACTTTTATTGTCATAGATAAAAACTTAACAATTTTTAAAGATTCGGGGCTACTCAGTCCAGCAGAGCTCTGCCTCTCTGGCGATCAGCCACTCATGCAAAACTGCAACGCTCCCAGTTCCCCTAAGGGTTCGGCTGTCCACGCCGGCCAGGACGTTGGCACGTGACCCACTGCACCTGTCTGTGGGGGTGAGAGAGCAGCCCCAGTCAGAGCCGAGACTCACACACGGTCACACTCCCGGGCCCGGCTCCCGAGCCAGCCTTTCTGTGACGCGAAGACAGAACTCCCTGCGCTCAGAACAGTTGCCTGCCTCCTTCCCTCGAGCCCACCCTCACGCAAGACGAGGGCCTTCGATCATCTGCAAGACAGAGCACTCGGTCTGCATCTCCGTCAGTCACCGCGGCCCTCGCCCTCTGACTCAGGGCGTCTGGCCTCTCGCACCGCCTCAGCGCCTAGACAGCAGCTGATACGGGGCCTGCGCGTCCCACCCGCGAAGCTGCGTCCTGAAGTTCACCTGACACCCCAGCTGGCCCGTGTCGCTTCTCCCTCCGTCAGTAAGTGCCTGCTAATGACACGATGCAGACATGAGCGCTTCTGTTCCATCAGGAGCAGCACAGACCTCCGGCCACCACCTCACGTGGGAAACAGTGATTTCCCTCAACTAACAGCACAGACTGTCACCTACTCCCCTCGTCAAGGCCATTCTTTTCTTCACGTTTTTACTGATTCAACAGAGAGGAAGGAAGAAGGAGACAGAAACATCCACGAGGACAGAGAACCATGGATGGGCTGCCTCCCGCACGCCCCCTACCGGGGATGGAGCCCGCAACCTGGGCATGTGCCCTGGCTGGAAATCAAACCATGACCTCCTGGTTCATGGGTCGATGCTCAACCACTGATCCAGACCGGCCAGGCTCAAGGTCATTCTTAACCCAATCTCTCCAACTTGGGGTCCAGGGTGAAGGATTGTACTGGCCAAAGGCATCCCCCAACAGGATAGGAGTTGAAAGTCGGTGATAAATGTCACACTTTGCTTGTCATAGTTGGGGGTGCTCTACACCGCCCCTCACAGCCCATCAGAAACATGGCAGCCGGAGGCAGCCCCCCAGGAAGGCCCGAGCTGAGAGTCGGAGCCGAGTCTGGGTTTTCAAGGACCTGCTTCCAGTTTGAGGGTCAGCCCCTCAGCACACCTGCACCCCGTGCTGAGCACAGAGCTAACGAAGGCGAGCACACGATGGGAGGTGTGTGGAGACGCTTCTAGAACAATCAGCAGAGTACAGTGAGGCGGGGGCCCATCTTGCTTCTTGCGGATGAGGAGGCTGGGAGGACAGGGAGCTGAGGCCCAGACCGGGGTGTCCCGTGCTGTCCCCGGACCCTCCATCTGGGGTGCCTTCCACACCCCCAACCCCCACCCCCAGTAAACACCAGGCGGCATGCGTGTCTTCCCTGAAGTAAAATAAACACATGCAAATTGGATGCAGATGAGAGAACAGAAAGGCCTTGTGCTGGAAAACACAAATCTCCAAGCCACTGACCACGAGCGGGTGACCCGTCGGAGCCCCGGCCTCCCCGCCTGTAGTGTCCATGGACGCCCACTCGGGGCCATGGGAGGGCTCGCCGAGACGCCTACGCCTGTGGCTCCGAGGGGCCCCAGTGGGTGTCCTGCCGATATGAGAGTCTCCCCCACTCCCGTCCCACCCACCTTCTCCACAGCTCAGTGCCGATCACTCTGCAGAAAGTACTGGGAATTCTGGGAGGCTCTGTCCGGGGCGACACAACCCCAGAGCTGCCCGCTGACTCACAGAGTTGCCTGGAACTGAAGTTCAGGGGCAGCCCTGCCCCGAGCACGTGCACAAGGGCCGTGGACACGGGTCCACGGGGCAGGAGCTGAGTCTCCATCCCCCCTCCCCCTCCCCCTCCGCAGACTCACCGCAGACCTTCCTGAACCGTCTAACCCGGGATTCCTCCCCTCCGAGCAGGGCTGTGAGGGCCACCTGCCCATCGCCAGCCTGGGGAAGGCCATTGCCAGCTGCGAATGTGGCCTGGGCGCTCGCTCCCCAGCCTGGAAACACAGGACAGAGCCCAGTGCCACTGGCCCCGAGACCCTGGGGGCCACTGAGAGAGCCCCCACGCGAGGAGTGAGAGACGGATGGAAGTCACTGCCCCAGACGGGGCTGGAGAGTGGGAGTACCAGAGGGTGGAAGGAGGGGTGCAGGGAAGGCACCGCACCCCAGGCTGCCCCCGCTCCCCGCAGGGCCTCTGCCATCCTCAGCTGCGCAGAGGGTCCAGGACCCCCAGAACCGGAGGTGGGGAGGCAGCTGAAAGGGGACATGGGCTGCCCCAGAGGCCATGGTGCCCAAACCCACCAGCCGTTCACACCCCCAAATCGGACACTCACCCTCAAGAAAGCGCCCTGGGGGGAGGCTGAGAGGAGGCGGAGGAGGAGTGTGGGGGCAGGACACTTCACATTTGGCACAAGGGATACCCCACTCCCTGGGCAACTGCCCAACTGCCCTGCCTCGCCCAGTCAGGTGCCCGTGAGGTCTAAGCTCCCGGGAACTGCGAGGGGCCTCGGGGTGTGCAGTGCAGGCTCCACAGAGGCTGGGGGGCAGCGAGGAGGCCCTCCAGGGCCCTCTCCTCCCAGAAGCAGACCCGGGAAGCCAGCCCTGCCAGCCGTCTGATCCCGCAGACGCTGCGGCCCCTCCGCAGGGAGGCAGGGCCACGGGCGCCCCCTCCGCCGCCCCGTGCAGCGCCGCGGGTTCCTTACCCGGCGGAGGCGTCTCCGGAGCCAGCTTCTCCCTCTTGGGCGCCTTCCTGGCCTTGGTCGCCTTCTTGGGCGGCCTGGGCGCGGGTGGGTGCGGCTCCTGCTCCTCTTCCAGGGTCCCCACGGGCACCCGCGGGGAGCAGGGCTCGGGCTCTGGTTCCTGGCTCCAGATGTCCTGCAGGTCGTAGCCGGGGTCCTCG